AGGTCCCTTCAGTCCAAGCCACTCTGAATGTATCCCCACTTCAGGCCAGAATGCCTGGGCAGGGGCAGCTCCCAGCTGCACTAGGGCTGCAGATGAAGGGTGAGAGCAGAAGATGAATAGGGGGATATGCTGCTTTTTCCTCCTGTGTCCAGGACATGCCCAGACAGCTTTTCCCAGATCCCTTGCTCTGCCGGGGCTACACTTGCTTCATCTTCAAAGTCTGATGAAGTCTGGGCTGTCTCTGATTTCCCACCCAAGGGAAGCTGGGAGAGGATGAAGGAGCAAAGAGAAGACAGGAGAACAAAGTCACCTTCACCTCTCCTCTCCACTGCTCCTCCCGAAGGAGAATCACAGCCCTGAGCCTGCAGTCCCCAACACAGCACTATTGCAGCTCCTGGTTTCAAGGACACCTCCTCCCTGCCCTGGTGGGACCAGGCACCAGGGGAAGGCAGCCCCAGAAAACCACTGCACGGTGGTAGGTGGAGCTGAGAGGGCACAGAAAGCCATGTCTGAGGGGGCAGCTCCAGCAGGAGCCAGCCCCAGCCTTGCTCCTCCAGCAGCACCAGAGCAGCAGCTCCTTGGGGCACACTGGGCTTCCTGCTGGACTCTCTCCCAAAGGACCTGCTGAGAGGTGAGGTTGTGCTTACAGGAGAGCACAGAGCCAGCTCAGAGGGGTCCAGCCAGCACCTCAGCATCCAGACAGCTCCAAATTGTTTTTTATTCTACACTGGCCAGTGCTCCCTCAACAGCATCAGACAGAAGTGAGCAGCTACAGCTTGTCTCCTTGCCTACCTGACACATCCCTCCACCAGAAAATGGTCTGCTAGGAATAACAGGGGCCACTCTCCAAGGAACTCCCAGCAGCCAGAAAGACTGAACAAAGTCACCTGTGCCCTGGTGTTGGACACCACCACCCTGAGCCTGCACAGCTAAAATAATGAAGCTGGAAGTCAAGCTCCCATGGAATTGAACCTCCCCTTCTGTGCTGCTGCAGCTGCAATGGACCTGCTTCCAGGTCTGAAATATTTACTGGGCCTCCCAAAGCCTGCAGAGATGGGCTGAGCTGACAGGCTGAGAGACACAACTTGGGATCTGAAGATTTCTGTTCCCAGAGGCAATTCACTGAGCAAACAGCCGTGTTACATAAGGCAGTGCTGGAGAGCACTGGAGCCACTGGAGGGACACAGAGCTCAGAGAAGAGGAACGGCACACAACCCCTCCTGACCACTCCAGGAAAACAACAAATGTGATTTCATTGCTTTCTGGCTGGAATGTCACCCAAAGCCACCTCCTCTGGGATGTGGCCTGGACCGTGGACCAAGAAGGAGCAGCTGATTCCAGAGCCAGGAGCAGCAACAGCCACAGCACTCACCGGGAAGGATTTTAGGAATGGGTTTACCAGGAGCTGTGACTCAAATCTGGAGTAGCACAGTGATGGCCCCAGCCCAAGGAGGAACCCAGCCCCTCAGCTTTTCCAAGGCCACCCAGTCCCACCAGAACACTGCCCAGCAGGGTGGGGAGACCTTCCTGTGCCCCTGCAGCCAGACCCGAAGTGCCGGAGCCGCGGGCTGTCACCTCACTGTCTCAGTGGCAAAGCCAGCCAGCTCCCCACCCACTGGGCTCCAAAATAAGCCCAGGCAGCAGTGGCAAGGCAGATCCAAAGGCAGTCTGTGCAGCCAGAAGAGGGATCAGCAGGAGGGGAGGGATGAGCCCTCCATGAGACATGGATGCTGCTCTCCGCACGCCAGGCAGGCGGCAAATCCAGGTCTCACACAGACACTGGACCTCACTTGCTCCTGCAAACAAAGAACACCAAGGGGCTGCATCTGCCTAAGCACAGACACTCAAAAAGCAGATTCCAGTGGGACTGTGCCCATGGAGTCCCTCTCTTCTATTACTGACCCAGAGAAAGCAGCTATTCACCAACAGCCACTACACAGCTCTCCATCCATCCCTCCAACAGCAATGCCAACCACTGCCCATGCACTTCCCAGACTACCAGCCCAGCTCTGCTCTAGACTAAAGCCCCACTGCAAAGTCCTCCAGCTCCAGGAGGGACTTGCTGGTGGTGTTTAAGGAGTTTGTATCTCAGATGGAGAAGCTACACCCACACCAAACCAAGCTGCACAGCACATGAGCCTCCAGAAAGGATGAGAAGTCCGTGACATTCTCTTATTTCCTGGAGGAACATTTCCCCTCATCTTGCATCTTCCACATGATGCTAAAGAACTTGGAGATCACTAAGGAATAAGCAAGGTGCCTTTCCAGAGGGGATGAGCAGCATCCCAAATCCCTGCAGGGAGCTACATCTTGCCCTGATGGTCATCCCAGGTGTCACTCCTTGCCCTGCTAAACAGCAAACCCAGTGAGCACATCCCAAAATTAGCCTCTCACAACCTACATTTTAGTGTCCTTTGGCTCCATCCCCCTGCCATGCCTCATGGGAACTTGTTTCTGAATTTCCAAATTAATGTTAATAAATTCACAGCCCTGGGTTACAAATTTGCATTACTGAGCAGGTTCTCTGGGTTCAGGAACACAGGAGGGTGGGGGTGAGGCTGCCAGCACAGACAAGGACCTGGCAGAGCAGGTTCAGAGGTGGCCACCAAAATGGTCCAAGGGCTGGAACAAGGGGCAGTGGGGTCAGACTGGACATGGAGAAGAAATGTCAGACTGTGAGGGTGGTGAAGGGCTGACAAAGGCTGCCCAGAGAAGTTGTGGCTGCCCCATCCCTGGAAGTGTTCAAGGGCACACTGGACAGGGCTTAGAACAAGGGGTCCACTGGTGCAGATTTAAGGTGTCCCTGTGCATGGCAGGGATGTGGAACTGGATGGTCTTTGAAGGCCCCCTCCAACTCAAAGTACTCTGTGACTCTGAGTCTGTCCACTCCTGAGCCCTACCACACCTCCTGAGCACACCACAACACCACAAATCCCTGATTTCAGATTAACGTGTGGCTCCTCTCTTCCTGTCCAAACAATTCTTGATGTGACAAACTGAATTCCCTACAACACCAAGGAAAAGTAACGCTGTAAAACAAAACCAGAAGCACTTCCAATGTCCTGGGTGCTTCTGCAAGTCATGGGAATGTCACCACATCTTGTTCACTGCAGATCTCAGGCTTTTAAATAGATTATTAAGCTTTTAGGCCATGAGTGCCCTTTGCAGCCCCAAGTGCACCCCATGCCACTGCAGCAGCCAGGAGCACAGCAGCCTTTCCCTGAACACCCCCAGACAGGAGCACTGCAACATCTTACAGTGAAAGCACAAGGGCCTGGAGGATGATTGAGCAACAGCCTGAGACATGTGAACTCCCTTGAGAAAATCCCTGATTCCAGGCTTGGCCAAGGAAATTTCAGCTGAGGAGCAGCTGCCAGGAGAGGGGAGCCTGAGACAATTTAGGAAGGGCCAGTCCTTTAAAGTAATTACAAAATCTACTGATTTGACACAGGGCTGGATGCAGGGCAATGTGTGTGTGGGCACCCTCCTGGGACCTCCAGGCACAATTCCACAAGCAGACATGGAATTGCACAGGGCAAATGAGAAATGGATGGGAAGAGGGTAGATGAGCAGAGAGAGACCTGGTCCCAGCTTTCCAGCCTCTAAGCACTGGGAGCACGAGCAGTGCTCAGCCCATGGAAGCAACACCTTGGCCAAAATGAGGGCTGCCAGTGGGCTGGAGCCACCCTGCAGGGTCAGACCTGCAGCATCCAACACCCTGTGACAGCAGCACCACGATGGAGGTGGGCAAAGGGGGGTGCTGCAGAGGCTGTTGCCTGCTCTGCTCATGCAGATCCTCCTGAGCTCCAAGGGCTCCAGTGGCAGCAGGCTGCTCCTGGTGGACTCACTCACCCCTCAGCACAGGTCCCTGTCCAGGTATGGTGAGACAGATGGGCTCGCCATGAACTGGCTCAAGTAATCTTTTTCATGATGTGTGACATACAGAGTAGTGTAGGGTGGGATTTTAAAGACATTTGGCTTTCCTTTACAGCACTACAGTTTCTTTGGCTGCTGCTTATTGAGTTAATTGTCAGGTTATTTCTTGCCTCTCTGTAGGAATAAATAAATTGCTGATCTTTCATATTTGCAAGAGAGAAAAGTGTTTTATGGAAGCAGGGAAGCAACACCTTGGCCAAAATGAGGGCTGCCAGTGGGCTGGAGCCACCCTGCAGGGTCAGACCTGCAGCATCCAACACCCTGTGACAGCAGCACCACGATGGAGGTGGGCAAAGGGGAGCCACGGGCTCAATGCTCCCTGAAGGTGGAGCTTGGGGCAGCAGAGCTGCTCCAGGGCTGCCCCTCAGCAGGTGAGCCCAGGCAGACTCCAGCCCCACCCTGCAGAGCTCAGCCCTCGGATCCACCCATTCCACAGTAAGGGCTTTGGGAAAAGCCTCTGCTGACCTCAGCACCCCACAGGCAGCTCCTCTGGCTCCCCTGGGAACAGGGGACCACAGCATGCACAGCTCTAACTCTGCCAGATCCCCCAGACACCCAAATGTTGCCATCCTTTGGGTGCTCAAATCCCTAACTCCAGCTCCTGGCAGCAAACCTTTTCTCTGGAAGAAAAAGCTGGTGAAGAAAGAGGTCTGGAAGGGATAGACTCTTTGACCAGCCAGCAACAAACTGTCCCCAGGACAGAGATGCAGGTCCCAGCTGCCACCTCTGGCTCAAAGAAGAGCTGTAACATTTCTGGGCCCAAGCAGGTGACACTTGGTCTGTTCTGCCTTATCCACTCTTTGGGATTTTCCTGGCAGCCCAAGGCAAGACAACAGCCAACCACCCCAAAAACAGCGACTTGCTGTTCCCAGCCTCCACACAGCCCATCCTTGCAGAAATCCCCCTCACTGGACTCTCAGCACCTCTCCAGGTCTTAAAGCCACCAGTCAGCAGGCAGTCCCAGCCCTCCCTCACCACCCAGCCGTGGCCCCCTGCACACCCAGGGGCCTGTGCCAGCCCACCAGGGGAGCCACGTGCCCACAGAACCCACGGGGCTCACTTACTCTCATCAGGGTTGGGAGAAGCCAGAATGGCGCTGTGCTTCCTTTTCACTTCTTCCACATTCTCCGAAATTTTATCAATGAAGCCTCGAATTTCTTCCACCTGTGAAGTGAGACAAGAAGACAGGTGGTCTGTGACAGATCTGGACTCTTGGAAAGTGAAGGGATTGTTATACCCAAAGCAACCATGGCATGTCTGAGCCACAGCAAACATCCTCCTGGATAAATATTTTCCAGCTTGAAACTACAGCACCACTGTGGAATCAGACTTCTCCATCCCACCAGCCAGCTCTGAGTCACAGCAGTGTAATACAGACTGCATGTCCTGTGTTCTTTGTGATACACTGAGAAACTTCTGGGATTTATATAAATCAGCAGCAGATTGATTCCCAGACTCTGTGCCACTGGCAGAGCACTGCTGAGACTGCACAAGCCAGGCTGGTAGTGGCTCAGACCCCATGGCTCCTTAAAAAGCTCCAGAAATGCCCAATTTGATCCTCACCCCCCTTTCCAGGGAGGCCACATTTTCCAAAAGGTCCATTCTGGCATTTTCCCTGCACTTGTGTGCTGCAGGAAGACACCAGCATCTCCCAAGAGGGGAAACCTCTCCTGTGCTCTCCGCCTGCCAGGCTGCTCACCCTCTAACTCAGTCTTCTCCTTCGGCTCACACCACTCCTTTGCTCATCTTCCTCCACCTGCACATCAGATTTATCCCAGTTCCCACTCCATTGCCTGCACAGATCCTTTTTAACACCCCCCACACACATGCCATGCTAAGGGTGTGCTAAAAATCCGCAAGCAGATCTTACAGCCACCCACATGCCAGAAGACAACCTCTTGTTTGGGAACGGGAGGCACAAAATTAAATCAATCCCATGCAGAGACTGCTGCTCTGCAGAGGTGCTCTGGGGAAAGGCCTGAGAGCTGTGTCTGAGGCTTCCCTGGGCAACAGCCTCACTGGGTTCTGGAGGAGCAGGGGAGCAGGGAAACATCCACAGGGCAGCACAGCCTCAGGTCTGCAGGTTCCTGATGTTCAGCACTCAGCACAACCCTGAGCATCAGCTGAGCAGCACCAGCCAGGGCAGGACCTTCATCCCATCCCCAGTGGCCACAGGGAGCCTGGACCACCCACACTCTGCCCTGGTGCCAGCAGAAAGGTCTGAACCAGCTTCAAACACATTGGAGGAACAAAGCTCTCACCTGCTCAAAGAACTCATCCATGAAACGATCCCGGTCCACGCTGACGGTGACTTCATCATCATCATCACTGTCCTTGGCCTGCAGCAACACAGAGAGAGAGAGAGGCATCAACCAGGGCTTCCTGCAGAGTTCATGGCTCTGTTTCAGAGCTCCCATGAGGAATCTTCCCCTTCTCCTGTGCTAACCTGCTCCAAGGAGCTGGGGCAAACACTAGCCAGAGTGTGGAGCACCCCAGGCACTGCCACTCCAAGCCCCCAGGACTCAGGGAGAGCAGAGAACACACACATCCAGCAGGGAGGGATGGCCAAAACACCAGGGCAGCCAGTGCCCCATGGCACAACCTCCACAGTGAGCATGGGACACAGCTCAGGACACCCCACATCCAGGGAGTGGGAGCTTCCAGGGCACCCTCAGCCCTGTATGAGCACAGCAGCTCTGCAAGGAGCAGGGATGGGAAACACCAGACATTCCACCATGGGAAACACCAGGGTGCTGCAATGGGAAAGCATGAGGCATGTCACAATGGGAAACGTGAGGGATGCTGGACCGGGAAAGCATGAGGGATGCTGTGATGGGAAAACACAGGGAATGCTGTGATGTGAAACACAAGGGATGTTGGACTGGGAAAGCATGAGGGATGCTGCCATGGGAAATACAAGGAATTCTGTGATGGTAAAGCAAGAGGGATGCTGTGATGGGAAAACACAAGGAATGCTGTGATATGACAGCACGAGGGATGGTGTAATGGGAAAACATGAGGGATGCTGTGATGGGGAAGCACAAGGAATCCTGTGATGGGAAAGCAAGAGGGATGCTGCCATGGGAAAACAAGAGGAATGCTGCCATGGGAAACACAAGGAATGCTGTGATGGGAAAACATGAGGGATGCTGCCATGGGAAAGCACAAGGAATCCTGTGATGGGAAACACGAGGGATGCTGCCATGGGAAACGCAAGGAATGCTGTGATGGGAAACCAAGAGGGATGCTGCCATGGGAAAGTCAAGGAATGCTGCCACAGGAGAAAGCATGGGCGACAGGAAAACACGAGGGATGCTGTAATGGGAAACATGAGGGATGCTGTCACAGGAAACACAAGGAATGCTGCCACGGGAAAGGATGAGGGAAGCTGCAGTGGGAAACACGAGGAAAGCTGCACTAGGAAATGTGAGATGCTGCAATGGGAAAACATGAGGAATGCCATGATGGTAAATAGAAGGGATGCTGCCATGGGAAAGCACAAAGGAAGCTGTGATGGGAAACACAAGGGATGATGTGATGGGAAAATAAAAGGAGTGCTGCAGAGTGCAGGAAAGGTGGGAGCAAACAGATAATACAGCTGAACTAGTAAAGTCACAGCAGGCAAATGAGGGGTTGTCCTTGTCTGCAGAAGCATGTGTGTCATTGTCACCAGAGATGAAAACACCTCCTGTCCCAGCAAGGCGGGGGCTGCAAGCTCTCAAGGGAAGGAAAAATTACAGTCCTGCACATAAGGAGACATTTAAAAGATTATTATCCAAAGCAGTTACACGATGGAGGGAAATGGAAAATTAACAGTTTGGAAAAGTTTCCTCTTACTCCATCCTTACAAGAGAGAAGAAGCCAATGGAATGGAGATTTAAGACAGGACTGCCTCTGCTCATCTCGTGATGATTGCTGTTTTTTCAGACAGTTACACATCACCCCATGGCCCCTCTGCAGTCTGCAGAGAGGTAGCCACACAGTCTCCAGAGAGAGCCCTCTTACATTGAAATAAGTCAGATGAAATATCTATCCTACCTCCCAAAATTGTCTTTCCACCCTACAGTGACTGACTTGGGTGGTATCATCTGGAGACCTCAGCTTTCAGCTTTGCCACCACTTGTGGCACTTTTTGCCTGGGTAACTAATTGAATAAATCATGTGGGATTCCATTTTCTTCATGGTGGAAAAAGGCCATTCTTTATTCACATAACTCCTTCTTATACAGCTGTACAGACCTCGTGGGTGACTCCAATTGGTTAGTAGCTTTCTTGTTAATTACTTTATTGGTGTTGAATAACAAGTTGTTATTCTGTATTGACTGGTCACTCAAATTCTCAGTGTGTACTGCAGGGACAGTTGTTTGTGAGAGATAGTTTTTAATTTTTCTATCTAAGGTGTAAAAACAATTTATACATGCGCAAGTTGTCTTTCACCCAGGAGTAGATTGTTATGTTAATAAACTGCTCACCCCAGGACTGCCCTCACATGGGAACTTGCAAAGGGCTAGCCTGACAAGGCCAGACACTGATTTTAGGAGAGAAGGCTTGATTTTATGAAGCCTTTCTTTATAATTTTTCAACCTTACTACAACAGGTAACTCACTCCCACACAGTTATCCCATTCATGGTTATCCAGAGCCTTTGTGATCAGAGAGCTCCCACAATTCTGGTGAAAATCTCACCCTGACAAGGAAGAGCAGGCATGGTGCTGCTCTTACCCACCACTCCACGGACACAGAAAACTGTGCCCTAAAGTCTGAAATTGTGCCCATCTGTGGCACAGCCACTCAGGCCAGGAGCTGCCAGCACAGTGAGGCTGGGGCATGGCCAAAGCTGCCATCCTGGGGATGAGTTGGTACATTTAAATCCCTCCAGTGATGGTGACTCCACCACTGCCCTGCACAGCCTGTTCCTGGGGCTGACAACCCCTTCCATGAAGATATTTTGCCCAATATCCAAACCAAACCTTCCCTGAAACAACTCGAGGCCATTTCCACTTGTCCTGTCACTTGATAACCTGGGAAAAGAGAGTGACCCTCACTTGGCTGCACCCTCCTGTCAGGGAGCTGTAGAGAGTTAAGAAGGTTCCCCCTGAGCCTCCTTTTCTCCAGGCTGAGCCACCCCAGTTCCCTCAGCCCCTCCTGGTCCTCCTGACCCTTCCCCAGCTCTGTTCCCTTCTCTGGAGGCTCCAGCCCCTCAATGTCTTCCTCTTCAAGGGGCCCAAAACTGACCCCATGATCTGAGCTGCCTCAGCAGTGCCCAGCCCAGGGGACAGTCACTGTGCTGGTGCCACTGGCTGCCTCTGTGCTGGGACAAGCTGGGGCTGCACAGCCCCCGCAGCAGGCACTGCCTTCTGCATCAGGCAGGGCCAGCTTCTTCCCTGAAGCTTTTTGCTTCCAAAATTCTGCAGTTTGCTCACAGCAGGTGCACACCACCTCTTCCATTCCCCCCAGCAGGCACAGACCAGCACTGAGAGCCAGAGCACAGCTCAGGCTTGGGGCAGAGCTGGATGCTGACCACATCCAACACCTCCCACACCTCCCTGGAGCCAAGGGCAGGATTTGGCCACAGGCTCTTTTAAATCCTCCCTGCATGCCAGCACCACCAGGCAGCCCAGTCCCTCCCCCTGTCCTGTGCCATCACTGCTCCAGCCTTGCTCCAAACCATCTGAGCATGGTGACAGCTGTCACTGTCCCAACCCCAATGCCACTCCTTCAGCCTGGCTGTAAGCTCAGGTCCACCTGGGGTCAGCAACTGCTTGCAGAGCAATGCCCACACATGCTCCATTGCTCCCAGAGCATCCCAAGCACTCCCCCAGCACATGGCAGAAGGGCTCACCATCGAGGAGGTCACAAAAACCATGTCCTAAAGCTAGGAATGTGTGGACAGCTCTTTGCTACAGAGACACAAGTATTATCCATGTTCACATTCCACTGCACACATCACACGTGCCTGCTAGGTTGGTGCTGTGCTTGATTTTAAGCATCAACAGCTTTGAAGCATCACACACTTTGGTGGGCGGCACCAAGAGCCCATTGGATAGAGCAATAACAACACAGACCCCCACCTACACCCCCAGGATCCTGGACAATGCCAACAGATCCTGGGGACAATGCTGTGAGTGAGGGAAGATGCACCTGCCAATGCAAACCCCACCCTGGATGCGTTCCCAGGTCAGGGGATCTTTCCTCCCCCACTTTGCTCAGCCTCCCCATGTCAGGGACAAGGACATCCACAGATGGAGGGACACCTGTCCTGCCTGCAGCTCCTGCCACCTCACCGTGCACCAGACAGGACAGTCATCTCCAGGAAAGAGTCAAAGGACACCTGTCCTGCCTGCAGCTCCTGCCACATGGTCATCTCCAGGAAAGAGTCAAAGGAAAGGGGGCTGAGAGCCCCTGTGAGATGGACCAGGGGACCCTGCTGGGTGACAAACACGACTTGACCTAGCCATGGGCACTGGCAGCACAGAAAGCCAAGTGTCTCCTGGGCTCACCCTCAGCAGTGAGGGCAGCAGGGCAGCAGGGGATGTTCCCCCTCTGCTCTGCTCTCCTGAGACACCCTGGAGCTGCCTGCAGCTCTGGGGTCCCAGCACAGGCCAGTGGTGTTGAACTGAGGAGGGTGGAGTCAGGCTGGACATGGGGAAGAAATGTTGGTCCCTGAGGGTGGGATGGCCACAGCAGCTGTGGCTGCCCCTGGATCCCTAGAAGTGTCCAAGGCCAGGCTGGACAGGGCTTGGAGCAACCTGGACTAATGAGAGGTGTCCCAACCCATGGGGGTGGAACTGGATGGGAAGCACCAGTCAGCCCCTGCAGCCCTGTACAGGAAAGCACATCTTCAACACAACCTCCCCACAAGCCTATCCAGCATTTTTTGCCATCATTCTAGCAGGATCTCAATTTGCCAGAATTCTGAGCCCCTTTCTGAAGCTTGTGAGCAGAGTATTCCCACTGCTAATTTTAGATGAAGACTTGTACAGAAACCAGGAAGGCCAGGGACTGGCAGCAGAGGAAGAGCAGCAGGAGAGCAGGATACCTGCCAGGATGTTATTGTCACCTTTTGCTTGCCCCTTCCACATCCAAAACAGGCCTGCCTCATTGCACAAAGATGCCACATCCCTGCCTGGTCCTACCTGCGCTGCCCACTGGAGCCTGCCATAGCCAGAAATCCTGCAGGAAGGGCACCCACCACCCACGGAGGGGGTTTCTGCCACAGCCACACACAGCCTGGCCAGAGGCACTCATGCTTGAGGGTACACCACTCCTGGGAGCACAGAGGCTGATGGACAAGCAGAGAGATGTTATTTAGGGCAGGCACTGGACAGGGGGAGTGGCACA